ACAAATACGTATAAATTGATAAAAATAACATAAATTCATATTTTATAAGAACTTTTCATCAATTAAAGTTTCAAAATTTTTATTAATGATAATTAAATAGAGAGAATAAATAAATCAAATAATTAAAATTTTTATAAAAAAATATTTTAATCACGTTATAATTGCGTTATTTTTAAATAGTACGTAACCATAATTTTATGTTGTTTTTTATTTATTTTTAAATGTATTAAAATCAATAAAAAAAATTGACTTATATGCATAAAATATTATTAGGTATATAACTTAATTCAAATTTATAATATTTTATAAAAAATATATATATATTCATTAAGAAAAATTAAAAATATATAAATAATTTTAAATTTTATTACCTCATTCATCCGTAACACAAAACAGAGTTTAAATTTTTTATTTGCTAAGATGGTATTAGATTGATAAGTCATTTGATTTGGTTATTTTATCATACTAATATAGATTTATATTAATAAAATTAAAAATATATTTATTAATATATATCTAAATTTATATTAATAATAATCATATCAGAATAAATTTTAAAAAGTCAAAATTCAAACTTATTATGAATCATCTAGCAATGAACTTATTTATTAATATTGAAATCATAATTAATTGTATATTTATAAAGAAAATAATAAAGGGTAAGAGGACAGAGACGCAAATGCAGAAATTTGATGAGTAAAAATTATTACCAACTTTTTTATTGGATCATGTTTGGGCTTAACAGAAGACATTAAAATACATGTTTAACTCCTGCTCCTGCTCCGCAATTCCCATATACGCACTATCATTTCTCTTTCCTCTCACTTTCTTCTTCTTCCTCTCTCTCTCTCTCTCTCTCTCTCTCTCTCTCTCTCTCTCCGGTGTAATCCAAACACGTAAATTAACCGGAATAAACAGACCATTTTCAAGTCCGACGCCGAGTCGGTGCGGAGAGACAGCTAATACAGTCATAGAACCATTCTTTCCGTGGTAATTGGACACAACTAAAACCAAGACTGTTGCTGATACCGGTGAATCCCCGGCCACATTTTCACCGGGACATGCCAGATTCCGACCAACAGGTCTCTTATCTATGTCTACTCTCTCTCTCTCTCTCTCTCTCCACACAATGTTTCCTGTCATCTTCGGGTAAAACAAAACGGTGCAGTTTGTGTCAGCTTATTGACGTTTCTGGGGCGGTACACTGCTCTTTTCGGTTTCGCCTTTTTTGGCTTCCTTTTCCGATCTCTATCTTTTCAATTTTTTACATTATTTTTTTTTTCAAAATTTCCGTAATTTTTTTGGGCTGCAAATCGAATCTAGTTCTTTTTTTCTTTTTCTTTCTGTAGATTCGCTTTTTTTTCCCCTCGCTCTACTGCAAGTACAGCTTTTTGGAAGCTGTTTTTTTTTTTTATAATATTAGGCTCCATCTTTCAATTTCTATGTACTGTCAAAATTTCAAGTGGAGCTACTTTTTTTGTTTCCACTTTTGGCTTGTCGAATTGATGCTCCAGTTTAGTGATTTAGGTGTTGATTTACTTCTTTTGAGATGATTTGGGGCTTTTCCTTGTGATTTTATTATTTGATTGTCGGAAATTATGGAGTTTAAGTGAGGGAAGGTTGGTTAAAGTTGTTTTGATGTAAGTATTTGATAAATGCATACCAGAATCAGGGCGTTGGTATTCTAAATATAAGGTAACTGGAGTTGTTCTCGGCGTAGATTGACGCATGGTTGTGATATTTCATGCGGTAATCGAGAAAATTACCGATATTTCTCTCTGCTTACTGTAAAACTTGTATCTGCATTCGACCCTCTCATTTTTCTCCTATATCAAGCCTTGGTTTAATTTGGCTGCTTAATCTCTCTCTCTCTCTCTCTCTCTCTCTCTCTCTCTCTCTCTCTC